GTATCACATCATTTGTTCAGAAAATATTTCATGAACTCTTACTAAGTGCTAGGTATTGTGTTAGGTATCAGAAACACAGTGGGGAATAAACAAAAGCAGACACTTTAAATAAGCAAGCACTGTAAGAGTGAAAGCTTAGGGCAAGATGGGAGCCTATTAGAGGGGTACTTATTCCTAAACTAGAGTTGATAGAGGAAGCAACCTCTTAATGGAGCCTGAGTGGATGAATGTGATTTAATGAAAGAAAAGGAAATCCTACAGAAGGATTTGGGCATTGCAAATGCCCAAGGGTAAAAAAAAAAAAAAAGAAAAGAAAAAGAAAAAGAAAAAAGGTCTATAAGAGCTAATAAGCTGGAAGAAGGATGAAGACGAATTGAAAGGTAAGTAGGAATCAGAGCACATACTGCCTCTTAACTAGTATTGAGCTTTAGCCTATGAGCAATTGGTAGTCACTGGCAGGCCATAAGCAGAAGAAAGATGTACTGAAATCTGAATGGTGGGTAGGGAACTATATCAAAGTTTTCCAGGAGAAGCAGAAAAGACAAAACATTAGGGCAGAGGAGTTAAGAACATAAGAGAGTGGTAGAAGCAATGAAATACAGCCTCTAAGATTGGAGGCAGAGGCTGTTTAGAATCCTTACAAGTGAGAAACTATGAGGACTTAAACTAAAGAAATACAAGTGGAGATCACGAGAAGAGGACAGATATATTTAGGGGACAGAACTAATGAGATGAATGTTACTCCATGAAAGGTGAAGGAAGAAATGGAAATTAAGAATGACTCAATTTTTCAACCTTATTCCAAAGTCCACATTTAAAACACCTATACAGTTTTTCTAGGTCCTCGCAGGATAACATTTCATTTTTTCCATAAAGTCGGGAGCAAGATCATCTACTAAAACTGAGATGAGAGGTAGTAAGAAGAGATTTAGTGAAGATCTAAACTAGCCACTCTGTAGAATGAGAAATCACTGAACAGAGAAACACAGGCCTCCGGGAAAGTTCTGAGGGCCCAAGTGGGGCAGAAGGTCTTGATCTGGCAACCCTCATCTGTGCAGGAAGACTATCTCCAGCAACACTCAACAGCCAGGGTAAGGATGCAGAGAAGATGAACACATAGACTAATCCATATCAAAGTTTTCCAGAAGAGGAAGAAGGACAAGACATTAGGGCAGATGACTTAAGAATATAAGAGAGTGACAGAAGCAATGAAATACAACCTCTAAGCTGTGTAGAAGAGTGAAGGGAAGGTGTGCTAATAAAAAGAAAGCAGCCTAGGAACTAGGGTCAGGGAACTAGAGGGCTCTCGTGACAGCATTTCCCAAAACGTGTTTCTCAGACACTTATTACACAGGATGTTAATCACTGATATGTTTCTCGTTAAAAGCTTTTCATGGTCAAATAAGTTAAGGAAAGCTTAGATAATGTAATTTTTAAACTGCTTACTTCCTGTACTCTTTGTATTAGTAAGTTAATAATATATACTGTAGTTTTCTAATAATTTATCTCTAGGATAAATATGCATTTCCCAAATACATCTGATTATTATATATTATCTATATTTATCTGAGAATTTCACTGAATGGGTATCTTAAGAAACACATTATCAGAGGGTCTGTGAAAAGAGAAGTAGTGATGGTAGAACACTTGAAAAGAAAATAGCTTTCAAAGGCAGTAGGCTTACCTGAAAGTTCACTTAGCTCCCAGAATTATGTAGCTAAGTATCTTTAATTCTACTATAACACACACACACACACACACACACAGCTTGACTCTGACTCTACTGTAATTAGTATTCATTCATGGAACCAATATTCCAAGAACATCTACTATTATGTGGCAGAGATTTATATAGCATTCTTACTAGGACAAACCTCATAACTTATCTGGGGAAACAACAGATACACACATGAAAAATAAAAACCTGGCTGGAAAGTATGGCTCTTCCTCAGATACCCATAAGATATAGTTTCTTTTCAGGGCAACTAGTGCTACCAATCTAACCACAGCTCTGTAAGACCGGAAAGTTCTTCCATAAAGACAGAGCTAACTGAGTAGATCTGAGCTGAACAAACTGAACAGCTTGTCTTGTCTTTGCTGAAGCTACTATTCTCCCCGGGTCATCTATTATGAAATAATCTCTCCTACCCCATAAATTTGATGACAATAGATTCTTGACCTGGTCCTAATCTAAGCCAGGATAAAAAGTCCTAAAAGCTGACTTTCTTAAATGACAACCAACCTACGTATACCCAGTGTCAACCATTCAGAATTCCAACTGGCACAGATAAGTATGGATAAAGCATAATCCATAAGGAAGAAGTAGAGGTCCACATGTAAATACTGGCTAGTGCCAGACTGAAGGATCTTGGTTACACAGCTGAAGCCTGGACACTCCCCATGAGGAGGCCTTAGAGATATCTGAATAGGAAGACTGAGAGCAAGAAGGTAAAAGTAATATCATCATTGCTTCTTGGGACATGCCCATAGGATCCACATCCATTTTTTAAAAAGCAGATCCAACTTTAAAATATTTTTTGTCATTTTTCTCCACTTCCCTTCAAAAGGTCTGTGGGTAATTTTACTTCCTAGAGATAAGGAAAATAGGCCCATAATTTCTAGCTTCATGGTGAAAGTTATAAAAAATGAAAGTGTAAACATAATTTAAACTGACAAGGATGTTAAATCAGGCAACTCATCTGAAACTCCAATGGAAATGGCAATGAAAATCAAAATCTTCAGTAAATATTGTAGAGATTTTAGAAAACCAAAAATAATATACTGCTATGATCTTATTGGGAACAAAAATGCTAAAGACATATTAGCAAATGTGGCTTTGACTGATGTAACGTAAGCTGAGACCTCATACCAACTAATTTAAGAAGTTTTAAAGATTTAGATCATGAGAAAAACAAAACTACAATACGTATGTGGTTTCAGGAAAAGTAAGTCTTCCTTCAATAACTTTTTCACATTCTTTACTACTGCTATTCTACAATAAGACAATCCCTAGGGGTTACACTAACATCACTTGATTAGATTTTGGAAACACTGAAGCCCCACATTACAGAATGATGTCTAACTGGCAGAAACGAAATACACAGAAAGTTGGCTCATGGGATTTAAAACTTCTGGAGGCCCAGAAAACAACTGCAGCTATATAAAACACTATCTGCTTAACTTCAAAATGAGCTCTCTGTAACAGAAAGTCATACCTATATAATTTGTTATAACAAAATTGTAACATATATTAATTTTTGTGGATGTCAAACATAAAAGTCACTACACAAAATGTGTAGAAATCTGTGATGTAATTTTAAAGTTTCATATCTGAAACATCACTGCTCTCTCTTCCTTGGAATATAATACACGGCAATCTAAATGAATTAGATTCTATAAAGACTCATTTTTCTTAACTACTATATATATGCTGATGTTCAACTATATGACTGCATGAAAAGTTGTTTATATAATTATTAATGCTCAGTAACTTCCTAAAGATACAACAAAACACTCAATGATCTAATAGATCTTTTAAGAATCATAAAATTTGAGTTAAAAAGTTATATCACAGTTTATGGAAAATTGATATTGCATGTGGATGAAAAATGTGTTAACTGTTTTACCACAGAGTCTTTGTGATCTACTTGTACCCTGACACTAGCTGGTTCTGGAGGCCACAAGGCCATCCTCTGCAGTGGAGTGAGGCATGTTATGGATGCGGAACACCTACTCTAATCAGATGGCCAGTAGAAATTGCAGGAATTCCAAGATTTAGGCTGCTTTCCAGGAAAAAGACTCAGAAGACCCACCAGTGGCAGGAGATAGAAAATTCATACTCCACCCACAGGATTGTGGCAGCATAGCAATCTATTTGCATTTTGTGCTTCGTGACCTTCTCTATCCAAAGTACATATGCAACCATGTGGGCTACACAGTACTAGGAAATAAGAAGAAAGCAGCAGTACTGAGCCATGTGACTTGAAGCTAAGGGGTCAGATCTCACAGGGGGACTAGCAAAAAGAAAAGGTGGGCAAAAAGAAATGGAAATATCTGAGAGAAAGTTCTGGTATCCATTTTGCAGTACCAGCAAATCACTTGAATATTTACAACTTTCTAGATTCTACAATGCTAGAAGTCATTTAATTCTGCTTTTCTGCCATTAAGAGGCAATACTGTTTGGTGGAAAGCAGCCTAGTACTTGCTTAGATTTTAACACTAACCACACAGGACTAGGGTAGGAGCAGGATGGGAAGACAAAGGTCAGCTGGTGCTAAGAGAAAATTTGTTTTCTTTTGCCTATCACTGTGAAATCACAATGTCCTACATTGTTAACTGCAGAATCTTTAAAAACTGGTTTTAAAAAAGAGAAATGCTAGTCTGTGAAAGTATACTTACCACCATCACTCTGTAAGCAAGAAGTCAGAGAGAGTGTTTGATCATCATTTCAGCCACTGCAGCATCCCAGCACTGTGCCTTGCATATGACAGGCAGCAGTGAATATTTGTGGAACTGAATATTCTGTATGAGCATACCTGTCTCGTAATCCTTCTTTCTAGTGTTTCTTATTTTCCCACCTTATTTCTTCCCATAGCTCACACTGCTCTTTGCAGCTTAACTAATACTTTGGACAACATAAAATAATAGTCTGCTGAATTTATTGGAAGATAATTTTAGGTTTACTTTTTTTAATTGGGAAAGTAAATGTTAGGAACCCTATCTTTTTCTCTCTAAAATACTTTGCAGATTAAGTTGTGGGTTAGCAATCTTCAACAGAAAAAAGTTCCATAACTCTAAGTGGAAGATGTGTTGCTTTCTGCTACATTAAAATAAAATTTTAAAAAGGTGACTTGTGCCATACTCCTTTTTACTGTTACATAAATCTAAGAAACAAAATTTTCCACAATTGGCTATAAAAAGTAAAACAGAACTAGACTGGTTTCTATAGAAGTATCTTTTCAAATTAGAAAACTAATATTCGATGTAAAAAAGCCACATACGTTTCATAGTTCCATCTTCTTCTTCTTCATCCTCACTGTTTATCACCATGGTCCCCAAGTCGGATTCCAGCATGGTGCTATTATGTTCAATCATGGTCTGGGCCCCTTCACTCATTGTGCTTGTGGCCCGCATGGTGCCCACACTCTCCACACTAGTCTTTACCATGGTGTGGGAATCCAGCTCATCTTCATCCTGCAAGCAAAATACTGCAATGAGGGAAGACTTTTCTATGGCAGATGGATTTTTTAATTCTTTTCTTTTTTTTTGAGACGGAGTTTCGCTCTTGTTACCCAGGCTGGAGTGCAATGGCGCGATCTCGGCTCACCACAACCTCCGCCTCCTGGGTTCAGGCAATTCTCCTGCCTCAGCCTCCTGAGTAGCTGGGATTACAGGCACGTGCCACCATGCCCAGCTAATTTTTTGTATTTTTAGTAGAGACAGGGTTTCACCATGTTGACCAGGATGGTCTCGATCTCTTGACCTTGTAATCCACCCGCCTCAGCCTCCCCAAGTGCTGGGATTACAGGCTTGAGCCACCGCGCCCGGCCAAGGATTTTTTAATTCTTAACAAGAAAATGAATATATTATAGTTTTAATACTTATAAAAATACTATGATTACCACTGATTTTAATATGAGTACATACATACGAATGTTATTTAAAAGCCAAAATTACCTGAAATAACCTAAAGCTTTAGGTAATTAAAGATCAAGCAACAGAAACTGATGAAGTAGAAAGCTGCTAGTTGCTCTTAAAATAAGGATCAAGATAGGTAAACTATCAACAAATGCGTGACAAAGAATATGGTAACAAAATAACTAAATATATAAAAGAGAGCATCTTTAAGACAACACATTGACACTTTGTATTATAATGGGCATAATGATGTCTATAACCTTGTACAACGGCCATTACCTTTTTCTTTTAAATTATCGCAAAATATACAAATACATATACATATATGCATATACATAATATTTACCATTTTTACAATTTTTAAGTGTACAGTTCTGTAGCATTAAGTACATTCACAATGCTGTGCAACCACTGCCATTATACATTACAGAACTCTTCATTCCCCCTTTCCCCAGCCCTGGCAACTTATATTGTACTTACATGAGGTATCTAGCATAGGCAAATTCATAAATACAATAGTACGTACTTACTTGCATAGACTTTGACACTAACCACACAGGACTAGGGTAGGAGCAGGATAAGAAGAGAAAGAGAAATGTGATTTTACTATTATAGTTAGGAATTTGCCTATTCTTCATACTTCATGTAAGTGAAATCATACAATATACTTCACTGAGCATAATGTATGCAAGGTTCATCCATATTGTGGTATGTGGTGAAATTTCACTCCTTTTAAGGCTGAATGATATTCCATTGTATGTACACACATTTTTGTCTCCCTGTTGACACCTTTGGCTACTGTGAATAGTGCTAATGTGAACATTTACCTACAAGTATCTGTTTGAATTCCTGCTTTCAGTTTGGTTGGGCATATATCCAGCAATTGCTGGATCACATGGTAACTTCATATTTAATTTTTTGAGTGCCCAAACTGTTTTCCACAGTGGCTATGTAATTTTACATTCTCACCAGCAATACACAGGATTCCAATTTCTCCACATCCTTGGCAACAATTATTTTCCATTTAAAAAAAATAATGGCCATCCTAATGAACATGAAGTGTTATCACACTGTAGATTGATTTGCATTTCCCTAATGACTAGGGACGTTGAGCAATTGTTTCTCATGCTTATCGGCCATTTGAATATCTTCTTTGGAAAAATATCCATTTACCCATTTTAAAATGGGTTGTTTCATTTTTCTGTTGTTGTTGAGTTATTATGCATTCTGGATATTAATTCCTTATCAGATGTATAATTTGCAAATATTTTCTCCCATCCTGTATGCTTTTTACTTTGTTAATAGCATCTTTTGGTGTAAGATTTAAATTTTGATGAAGTCTGATTTATCCATTTTTTCTTTTGTTGCCTGTGCTTCTATTGTCAATACCAGCTTTTAAATGTTTCACAGAAGAACCAAGTCAGTAATATAAGTACAAATTAAAAGTGCTCTTTAGAACATTCACCAAAAGATATACCGGAATAGGGTCATAAAAATAAATTAACAAATCCTGCTTGAAAGACCGGCTGATAATCCCAGTGCTTTGGTAGGTCAGGGCAGAAGGATCTCTTGAGGCCAGGAGTTTGAGACCAGCCTAGGCAATACAGCGAGACCCTGTCTCTACAAAAAATTTTAAAATTAGTTGAACATGGTGGCATGTGCCTGTAGTCCCAGCTGCTTGACAGGCTGAGGCTGGAGGATTGTTTGAGCTCAAGAGTTTGACGCTGCAGTGAGCTATGACGGCTCCACTGCCCTCCAGCTTGGGTGACAGAGCAAGACCCCATTTCAAAAGGGGAGGGGAGAGGGAGGGGCAGGGGAGAGGGGTAGAGGGAGGAGAGGGAGAAAGAAAGAACCAAAGGTTCTGCTGTTTAGAAAAACTTGATCATGTACTTGATCATTTATACTTATTCCATTTTTAGTGAAAACATATAAGCAAAATCTAGTTCTGACAGAGGTCAAAATGCAAATCTAAGAACATCAATGTTGGGTCTCAGCAACTTAGGTAGTATGATATAACAATAGTTGGACAGCTGTTGAATATATTTCCTCTTCCTAAACCTATAGGTTAAGCTTAGCATTATGTCTCAAAGTCCTCTGTACTTCTTTCACGATCCTTTCTCTTTTAGAAGCCTCTTCATTCTCATGACTTCAAATATCTAGTAAGTTGAGGAGACTCAAATCCTGAAATCTTCCTGTCTTTATTTATTACATAAATGCTTAATGATGTCTAAAATTTGACACTCCCAAATCAGATATTTCATTTATCTCTCCAGTCCCTCCCATCTGTCTCCATCCCCGACAACCACCACAAATCCTAATCTTCACTTGCTACATGAAACTTCAGTATCTTCTTACATTTACTCTCTCTTTCATTCCCTATATATCTATCAGTCAACTAATTCTTTAAAAATTTCTCTCTTAGCTCCATCTCTTCTTTTCCATTCCCACTGCTACTGGGTATATATGATCCTCACTACCTCATAGGTGGGTTACCGTAGCTAATGCTTCCTGATTGAGGACTCTCCCATCTAACTTTCTAGAGTCAGACAGACATTAGTTCAAATCCTGGCTCAAAGCACTTACGAGGCATAGGATCCTTGGCAAGCTATTTAAACTCTCCAAAGGTGAATGATTAAATAAAAAGGTATGCAAAATGCCTGCATGCTACCTAAAACGTGGTAGTTTCACACCTTCCTCAAAGTACATGGCATTATACTAACCTTTCTTAAATACTACTTCTAACATAATACTCTACTGAAGAATCTACAATGGCTCCCAGTTCTCGCCTTCATTAAAGTAAACATTTCTGCCTAGATTTCTATGTCCTCTATGGGCCAATCCTATTTTCCCATTGTTCATATAATCTCCAATACAGGCAGGCTGACTTTAACTGAATCTCTCTTTGCCACAACTCCATATGATGTTATGCTCATTAAAGACTTCCTTTCTGTACATGTCTTATTCTCTATCCAGAACACCCTTCCCCTCTATCCATTTAACTAAATCCTACCTAGTTTCAGATCAAGAATCTACCACTTCTGTGGTGAAATCAGTCTTTGTTAATTATTCTCTAAGCTTCCACAGAATTCATAATCTGCATTATACACTTTTGTATTCAATTTATGACCTCATATTTTGAGCAACTGTTTTGTAACGTATTTTATAACGTAAGTACCTTATGGATGAGAATGTTAGAGTACCTCTGAATCCACAAAAGTGTTTCATTCGCTACTCAAAATACAGTAGGCATTTGTGAAAGTTGTCAGAATCAAAATGAAGTCATTTCTGCTTAAAACAACAGAAAAACAAAAACCAACCCTGACAAACGGAGCAAGGGAAGGCCATAAAGAGATGGTCCTCATGCAAAAGCTATCACAAAAGGCTCTGACAAAAACCACAATATTGCACAAAGGCCATTGCAATCTTACATGAAAAATACTGTGAGGACGTCTACCTAGTAACCGCCTATCCAACCACAGACTGGCACACCCTTGTTACTGACCCTTGTAGCCAAGGATAAATATTTCAAAACAATTATGCAATTCTCCCCCTTTTTCATTTAAAAACCTTTGTCTTCCCTTACCCCCCTGAATATGCACACCATTTACTATAGGGCATACCATTTACTATAGCACCTATACTCCCACTGCAATGCCCTATTATAAAATAAATGTTACTTTCTTTTAGAGAGTCTTTGTTATTTAGGTTGACAGGTTCAAGACATATTCACTTTTTCATGGAATTATAAAATCAGGGACCTTTACAGTTAGAGAGAAATGAATTCAAACCTTCATTTTCTATCTGAAAACACTGAGGTCCATAGAAAATAAGAGACGTAGCAAAGAAGTAGAAAATGTAGGAAGTAGAAAAGTTCCTTTTTAAAGTTTCCTTTCTTGTTAAATCCTAAGTCTGCTAATAACTTTGTTAAGCCCTATCCTATGTACCTGTTCGATATGCTGTGCTTACAGGCATGCTGTACATTCTGTGTCCTTGTACTTTAACCAAGATATCTGTGCTGCACATGCTCACAGGCATGTCCCAGGTCTCCATTGCTTTTACCTGTTTAGAAAAGTTTTAAGTTGTTAGCCAATTGGGTTTTAGTTCAGATTGCAAAGTCTGGCTCCAGCCAATGGAGATCAGACACAGCAGTAAGGATAACCCTAAATGCGTAAGGAATAAATTTGTATGTATTCCCTTTGTTCTTTGTACTCTCATGGCAAGATGGCTAGTGACAGTACCCTTTCTTCAGTCCAGGAATTAAAAATTGCACTGCTGAAAGATCCTTTGTCTCAGTGCTGATTTTTCTTTGCAGCACTGAGCATCTATTTCCAACACTTCCCTAAGGTCACATACCTACTTAAAAGTAAAGCTGGGACTAAGAAACAAGTTCGTTTATTTCTTAGCCCATTATTCTACTACATACATGTATCTTAATTACATTTACATTTTTATCTACTTGAATGCTTAAGTTTGAGGTGCAAGCTTACAGTTTTAAAAGCTTGTATCACCACCTCCTATTACCAAAGAGTCCCATGCAAATTATTCAGTCCATTCCA